GGTTGTCAGCACCCGGGGCAAGGCAAGTAATTTGCGCCCCCTAACCTGTGGATTTGCACCCCTAACCCGTGGATTTGCGCCCCCTAACCTGTGGATTTGCCCTAACCCCAGATGTTGCGCCCGGTGCGGCTGGCCCCCCCTGCACCCCCCACGCTATGCCACTGCTCCACAGTCACTTACGGACTCACTATTAAGACCGTGTTAGTGGGAAACAATCTTTCTCGGCTATGAGTGATCGCCAAAGAAGAAGAATTTGTGTGTTACCGGAGAGGGTGGTAGTGGCAGCACCAGAAGAGAAGGACCCTTCAACTCAGCACCATTCTGCTCGGGGCCAGTCCTGCAAGAGAAGCCCAGCAGTTCCCTCCATCAAACACCTGGAGAAGCTCCTTCGAAACTCCAGGTGAGAAGGGAAGCAAATATTTTTTATTTCCTCCAGCCTTTTTAACAAGACCACTGACAGCCTGGTTCTCAGGACGCCAGTCAGTTCCAAACGCCACCGCCACAATGGTATGCAAACTAAGGCCTGGGGGCCGGATTCAGCCCAATCACCTTCTCAATCTGGCCCGCAGACGGTCCAGGAATCAGCGTGTTTTTACATGAGTAGAATGTGTGCTTTTATTTAAAATGCATCTCTGGGTTATTTGTGGGGTACAGGAATTCGTTCATTCCCCCCTCCAAAAAAATATAGTCTGGCCCCCCACAAGGTCTGAGGGACAGTGGACCGGCCCCCTGCTGAAAAAGTTTGCTGACCCCTAGCTTAGCAGGAAGGAAGCCAAACAGGCTCCTTTATTTTATTTATCTATATTATTTATGTTGGGTCTCTGGACCGTAATAAAGATTGATTGATTTTATTTATTTTATTTTATTTTATTTTTTCGGGTCAAGGAAAAAAGCAAGGAGCAGTTCACCTAATATGAAAACAACACAGCTGAAAACAAAGCAACCAAATATCCAAAATAATAGCTTTGAATGCTTTCCTTAGCTTTTACTCTCCTTCCCCAAAGGTTTTTAAGCAGAGGTTGGATGGCCGTATGTCATGGAGGCTTTAGATGAGTTCCCTGCACTGTAGGGGGTTGGACTAGATGACTCGTGGGGTCCCTTCCAGTGTTTCTGCTGACCTTTAAAGCCCTAATCGGCCTCAGTCCAGTATACCTAAAGGAGCGTCTCCACCCCCATCATTCTGCCCAGATACTGAGGGCCTTCTGGTGGTTCCCTCGCTACGAGAAGCCAAGTTACAGGGAACCAGGCAGAGGGCCTTCTCGGTAGTGGCACCCTCCCTGTGGAACGCCCTCCCACCAGATGTCAAAGAGAACAACAATTACCAGACTTTTAGAAGACATCTGAAAGCAGCCTTTTTTAGGGAAGCTTTTAACGTGTAACAGACCACTGTATTTTAATACTCTGTTGGAAGACGCCCAGAGTGGCTGGGGAAACCCAGCCAGATGGGCGGGGTATAAATAACAAATTCTATTGCATTCTAATTTTATTCTAAGATTCTATGATTCCATAACATGAAAGAATCAGAGCCCCTCCAACTTTCCCCACCACTCCATATTCTCTGCATTGAGGGGGACCCCATAGGACTGTTGGAAGGGAACCAGCGCTCGCTGCAGCTGGATAAGCCTGGATCCTTTGAGGTGGGGGTCCCTCCGTCCCTCTTTTTTTGTGGGGAAGGGGAGGCAGGAGGAATCCTGCTCCTGCTCCATCCCTCCCACTCGGGCAAGGCTGTTTCCTCTGCATCCAGGCTCTTGCTTCCACCCCACCCCGTACATCCCATGTCGTCTGAGATCTGGGATTTGGGGGGGGCTGGGGGGGGGCTTCAAAGGATTTCGTGCAACGAAGAAGCATGCAGCCGCCTGGCCTCCGCTTTGCAGCTCCTTTGCATGGATTAGCACCTCCCCACCCCACCCCGACCCTTCCTTTCCCATTCCAAAAAATAAAAAATAAAAATAGAATTATCCTCCCCTCTGCCCCTTTTACCTGTTTGACCTCTCCAGGCATCAGCCTCCTCCCCCATGGCCGAGAAGGCGAGTTCCTTCCCTGCAAAAAAATGAAAAAGGGAGGGACTGTGACCCCCCCACTCCTCCCCTTTGCAAAAAAAACCTCCTGCCCCTCTCTAGGAATCCCAAAAATTCCTGGCCGGAAACCGCCTCTCGCCACTCAATCGCCTCTTTCCACGCATTTCAAGTGCGCAACTCGCAACTTCGGGTTCGTTTTCGAACGCAGAGAGAGAGAGAGAGAGAGAGAGAGAGAGAGAGAGAGAGAGAGAGAGCCGTAGAGCTATTGCCTTGTAGAGCAAACCCCATAAGACTCCTGCCAGCGTTCGAGTGGGAACCGGAAGTGATGGGGCGCACACATGCGCACGCAAACATCCACAAAGTGCTGGACGAAGGGCCGAAAAAGAGCTGAGATTTAAGGGGATTTTTGGGCCACGGTGTCGCCAGGAAGCCGTGGATCCGCGATTTTTGTAGTGCATGCTGTGCCCATGGCTATGATGTTTGATCTGATGGTGACTTCGGGCTGATCTGGTGCAAAAATCATGAGGATCCGTGTTTTTTAACCATGTTTTTGCACCATTGCGGCCCCACGAAACAGTGGGTGCATGATTTTTTTGATGCTGCCTACAGACTAAGACATGGTCTACAGGGATGCAGGTGGTGCTGTGGGTTAAACCACAGAGCCTAGGACTTGCCGATCACAAGGTTGGCGGTTCGAATCCCTGCGACGGGGTGAGCTCCCATTGCTCGGTCCCTGCTCCTGCCAACCTAGCAGTACGAAAGCATGTCAAAGTGCAAGTAGATAAATAGGTACCGCTCCGGCGGGAAGGTAAACGGCGTTTCCGTGCGCTGCTCTGGTTCGCCAGAAGTGGCTTAGTCATGCTGGCCACATGACCTGGAAGCTGTACGCCGGCTCCCTTGGCCAATAAAGCGAGATGAGTGCTGCAACCCCAGAGTCGACCATGACTGGACCTAATGGTCAGGGGTCCCTTTACCTTTTACCACTCTCTCTCTCTCTCTCTCTCTCTCTCTTCAGTCATCCTCATCCTGTTTGGGGCCTTTCGGAAACCAGATGGGTATATTGGTTCAGGTACCTCCTCTTATACCAAGCTCAGAGTGACCTTATCTCTGCAATTATTGCAGCTCCCAGATGAAATTCCCAGTATCATGGCTGGTGATGTGTGGTGTGACCCATTACAGCTTATGCAGTCAGCTGATATAGACATCTAGGTGTTGGCTGAGGGGGTAAACTGGTCAACCAGAGACTCAGATAGCCATCTGAAGCAAAAATCATGTTTGGGGAAATTATTTTTTAAAAATCACCAGCATAATAAAAGTGAATGCAATTCATTTTATTTAAGGTGCAATAATCTACCATTCTTTTAAAAATAACACTATACAACGCACGGATTAAATGGGAGAAAGAAGTTGTGAAACTAAATCTATGAAAGCATCTGGTAAAGTGGGCATTACCTGCAAGCAAAATGTAGCTCCGGGGATTAAAATTAACTATGAATTTTACCATAGCTAAGTACATGCATTCGCCCAGCTAAATTCCACCCCTCCTGTAATCTAATGCTTCTATATTCCCAGAGCGACATCTTAATTTAACAGAAGCTGCCAACAGAGAGGTTAATCCCAGGGAACAAGCTCCTCTGGTCTTGGAGGAAGGTTAGACCCAAGGTCAAACTGGTGTCCAGGAAGAAGAGTAGAACAAGAGTTTGGATTTGATATCCTGATTTATCACTACCCGAAGGAGTCTCAAAGCGGCTAACATTCTCCTTTCCCTTCCTCCCCCACAACAAACACTCTGTGAGGTGAGTGGGGCTGAGAGACTTCAGAGAAGTGTGACTAGCCCAAGGTCACCCAGCAGCTGCATGTGGAGGAGCGGGGAAGCGAACCCGGTTCCCCAGATTACGAGACTACCGCTCTTAACCACTACACCACACTGACTCTCATCAAGGATACACATTAAGGAAAAGGCAAGATACAAAATTAATAAAATACTGAAGTCTGAACCACACTTCGGAATAAAGGGAAATGATTTATAATGAGCTGGGAAAACTGTCAAATATAACTTTTGTTTAATAATAATAATAATAATTTTTATTTAGACCCCACCCTCCCCAGGCAATACAGTGGTGCCTCGCAAGACGAAAAGAATCCGTTCCGCGAATCTCTTCGTCTAGCGGTTTTTTCGTCTTGCGAAGCAACCCTATTAGTGGATTAGCGCTATTAGCGGCTTAGCGGCTATTAGCGGCTTAGCGGCTTAGCTGTTAAAAGGCTATTAGCGGCTTAGCGGCTTAGCAAAAGGGGGGGGGAAGCAAAAAAAAAAATCGCAAGACTCGCAAGACGTTTTCGTCTTGCGAAGCAAGCCCATAGGGAAAATCGTCTTGCGAAGCAACTCAAAAACGGAAAACCCTTTCGTCTAGCGGGTTTTCCGTCTTGCGAGGCATTCGTCTTGCGGGGCACCACTGTACCGGGCTCAGGGTGGCTAACGACCAATAATAAAAATAAGTTGATTAAAATACATTTTTTTAAAAAAATTAAAATACAATATTAAAACATTAGGATGCAGCCTCTTCAGAGGAGGAGAAAGGGAAAAGGAAAGAGGGGGAGGGAATCAAACTGATTCTAAGCCAAAGGCCAGGTGGAACAACTCTGTCTTACAGGCCCTGCGGAAAGAAATCAGATCCCGCAGGGCCCTGGTCTCATGAGACAGAGCGTTCCACCAGGCCGGAGCCAGTGTTGAGAAGGCCCTGGCTCTGGTTGAGGCTAATCTAACTTCCTTAGGGCCCGGGACCTCTAGGGTATTGCTATTTATGGACCTTGAGGCTCTCCGTGGGGCATACCAGGAGAGGCGGTCCCGTAGGTACGAGGGTCCTAGGCTTTAAAGGTCAAAACCAGCACCTTAAATCTGACCCTGTACTCCACTGGAAGCCAGTGCAGCTGGAAAGGCACTGGGTGACTATGCTCCCATGGCAGAGACCCTGTGAGGAGCCTCGCTGCAGCATTCTGCACCCGTTTAAAAAAACCCCAGAAGCTTTTCTGTTAGGAATAACTGGTTTAGTGGTACCCAAAGAACAGAAAAAAATGTTTATGTATGCTACTACGGCTGCTCAAATGATATATGCCCAGAGATGGAAAGAAGAAGCAGTTCCGACCACAGAGGATTGGCAACAAAAAATGATGGAGTATGCAGGAACTTGCTGGAAGAATAAGAAATCAAAAAAGAAGATGCTATAGTATAGAATTTATGGAATATCTGAAGGATCATTGTAAACAACTTAAAATCATTGCCAGGACTGATATGAAAATGTGCAGTGAGAGAAAGCTAAATAGAATATAAAAGAAAAAGTTTGTAAAAAGGTTTGAATTGGATATGCAGTAGTAAAAGAGATAACATAAGTATCTGCAGAAAGGGAGGGGAGAGGGTCAATATTAAGATTTGGTGTTTTAAATTGATTATGTAATTTTTTGTTAAAATATCTGTAAAACAATAGAATGAAAAATGAAATGAAAAAATAAAGGAGAAGATAAAAAAACTTTACTTATAACAACTAATTCATTGCCCAAGAAAAACCTCATTTTTTCTTTGGGCAACTCACGATGATCTGAGAGCTTTTTCAGGGTAGCCTCTGGTGGGCCAGAGCCAATGGACACGTCCATTGTCAGCCTTCCATCCCACTATGGGCATGGCGGCATGGCTGGGCCAAAGCATACTCTCTACGCAGCATCTGATGGAGACTCTAGGCAATACATGTCCAGCTGCCCCAAAGTTCTTCTTTCTAGACTAGTTTCATGCCTCCCTTGGTTCTTCCATCTACAGTAAGGTTTCCTGCTCCCATTGCAGCTCTTTTCCTATTCCATTCACTTAGAGGGTTTCTCCATGGCGTGGGTTTTGTGGTGTGATTTGAGACTTCCCATATCATGGTTCCTTCCACACTCATGAATTTCTCCCCAGCATGGGTTTTGGATAGAAGTTAAGGCTTCCACTATGTCTGAAACTCTTTTGATGTGCCATACATTTAAAGAGTTTCTCCCCGGTTGGATTGGTCGATGGGATCTGAGGCTTAGAGAGGTTCTTTCCACATGCCATGCATTTAAATGGCTTCTATCCTGTGTGGGTTCTTTGATGCTTAGTAAGGTCACCTCTCCCAGCTGAAGTTCTTTCCACACTCCATTTGTAAATGTGGCTCCCCAGTGTGGATTATTTGATGTAAAATAAGAGGGTAAGAACAACTGAACCTCTTTCAATACTCCATACATTAATGCGAATTCTCCACTGTGTGGGTTCTTTGATGTAAAGTAAGATTACTCCTTTGACTGAAGCACTTTCCACACTCCATACATTTAAACGGTTTCTCCCCGCTGTGGGTTCTTTGATGTAAAGTAAGATTACTCCTCTGACTGAAGCACTTTCCACACTCCATACATTTAAATGGTTTTTCCCCACTGTGGGTTCTTTGATGTAAAGTAAGATTACTCTTCTGACTGAAGCATTTCCCACACTCCTTACATGAAAATGGTTTTTCTCCTGTGTGGATTTTCTGATGTAAAGTAAGTTTACTCCTCTGAGTGAAGCATTTTCCACACTCCATGCACTTAAATGGTTTGTCCCCTGTGTGGATTCTTTGATGTAAAGTGAGTTTACTTCTCTGACTGAAGTTCTTTCCACATTCCGTGCATTTAAAGGGTTTTTCTCCCGTGTGGATTCTTTGATGTAAAGTAAGTCTATTTCCCTGACTGAAGCTCTTTCCACACTCCATGCATTTAAAGGGTTTATCCCCTGTGTGCATTCTTCGATGCACAGTAAGGTCACAAGTCCTACGAAAGTTCTTTCCACACTCCATGCATTTAAACGGTTTCTCCCCTGTGTGGATTCTTTGATGTGATTTGAGGCTTCCCCTATCACAGAAGTTCTTTCCACACTCCATGCATTTGTAGGGTGTCTCCCCTGTATGGGTTCTTTGATGCACAGTAAGGTCACTAGTCCTACGGAAGCTCTTTCCACACTCTCTGCATTGAAATGGTTTCTCCCCTGTGTGGATTCTTTGATGCACAGTAAGGGCACTACTCCTAGGGAACTTCTTGCCACATGCCATGCATTTAAATGGCTTCTCCCCAGTGTGAATTCTTTGATGTGATTTCAGGCTCCCCCTATCACAGAAGCTCTTTCCACACTCCATGCATTTATATGGTGTCTCTCCTCTATGGGTTCTTTGATGCAAAGTAAGATAGTAATTGCGACTGAAGCTCTTTCCACACTCCATACATTTAAATGGTTTCTCCCCCGTGTGGGTTCTTTGATGTGCAATAAGGCTTCTGCTCTGGCTAAAGGTCATTCCACACTCCATACATTTCAGTAGTTTCTCACTGGTATGGATTCTGTCATGCACAGTAAGGTTATGCCTTGAACCAAAACTCTTTCCACACACCATACATCTGTGAGGTTTTGCTCCTGTATGGGTTATCTGATGTGAAGCAAGGTTTCCACTCTGACTAAAACTCTTTCCACACTCCATACATTTAAATGGTTTCTCCCCTGTGTGGGTTATTTGATGTGCAGTAAGTCTTCCCTTCTGGCTAAATCCCTTTCCACACTCCATACATTTAAATGGCTTCTCCCCAGTATGGGTTCTTTGATGTGTGATAAGGCTTCCTTTCTGGCAAAAGCTCTTTCCACACTCCATACATTTAAATGGTTTCTCCGCTGTGTGGGTGATTTGATGTGCAATAAGTCTTCCGCTCTGACTGAAACCCTTTCCACACTGCATGCATTTAAATGGTTTCTCCCCTGTGTGGGTTTGTTGATGGAATCTAAGGTTTCCACTTGTGCTGAAACTCTTTCCACACTCTATGCACACATATGGTTTGTTCCCTGTGTGTGTACTTTGATGTACATTAAGATACCCACTGCTACTGAAACACTTTCCACACTCCATACATTTAAATGGTTTCTCCCCGGTGTGCGTTCTTTGATGCTGAGTAAGGTCACCTTTCCCACAAAAGCTCTTTCCACACTCCATACATTTAAATGGTTTCTCCCCTGTGTGGATTCTTTGATGTGCAGTAAGGTTTCCACTCTGGGTAAAGCTCTTTCCACACTCGATACATGTGTAAGGTTTTCTCCTGTATGGGTTCTTCGATGTGAATAAAGGTAACCTCTCCAACTAAAGCACTTTCCACACTCCTTGCATTTAAATGGTTTCTCCACTGTGTGCGTTGTGTAATGTAACTTAAGGCTTCCACCATGTCTGAAACTCTTTCCGCACACCATACATTTAAACGGTTTCTCCCCTGTGTGGGTTCTTTGATGTAAAGTAAGGGTATTCTTATGAGTGAAGTTCTTTCCACACTCCATGCAGTTAAACGGTTTCTCCCCCGTGTGGGTTCTTTGATGTAAAGTAAGGGTGTTCCTATGAGTGAAGCTCTTCCCACACTCCTTGCATTTATATGGCTTCTTCCCTGTGTGGGTTTTTAGATGCTTAGTAAGGTTACTAATGCCACTGAAGTTCTTTCCACACTCTCTGCATTTAAATGGCTTCTCCCCTGTGTGCGTTGTTTGATGCTGAGTTAGAGTTCCACTGCGACTGAAGCTCTTTCCACACTCTAGGCATTTGAACAGTTTCTCCCCTGTGTGAGTTCTTTGATGTTGAGTAAGAGTTTTACTATGACTGAAGCTCTTTCCACACTTCAAACATTTCAGTGGTTTCTCTTCTGCGTGGATGTTGTAACGTACATTAAATTGAGTTGGGTGACTATATAGTTTGCTGCGTTCTGGACATGCTTTCCCAGTGTTTCCTGTGTGATCTTCCTGTGAACTCAGGGGTACATGGACATCGATGTCCTCAGTAGCCAAGGATTTAATTCCCCCACTCTTCAACATGTTTCCTACATGCTTTTGGGGTGCTCCTTGATCTACAAAAGTCTCTTTCCATGCTTCTTGCTCTACATTTTCTGATGACACCATGGATGGCTCCCCGTTATTCTCCATGTTTTGCCCGTTACCTTTTCGGAGGGGAAGGAGAAAAAGAAAATGTCATTCAAATTGCAAGGTAGAAGCAGACACTTTGAATCGGGCCCATTTCTCTGCTACTCTGATTTTACCATTTTCAAGCATCTCCCCCTTCTCCTTTCCATGCCCAGCTGAATCTGAGGTTATCAAGGGATATGTGTCATGTAGTGAGGGGGGGCACAGTCCCAAGGACTAGCTGGAGAAGCTCTGGGGCCCACATTTGTCCTTGTGGGTTATTCCAAGAGCCCTACATGGGCCAAGTAGATGCGGACAGGAACCCAGAAGCAAGACATAAAGGCAACAAACCTCTCCTTCCTCTCTTTCCAGAAGAAAAAGAACCCCAGGACACAACTAAGTACCTACCTGCTGAGGTCGCCCCTTCTTTGAGATCCTGGAGAAATGGATCGTGTCCTTCTTCCCAACAGGAACGGAGGTCTGATTCTTTCAAGGAAAGAGACAATGTTAGACACCCGTGGTCACAAAATATCCAGCCATTTCTAATCGATCCGTATCCACGAGTTCAAAGCCAAGGAAAGGGATTATGCATTGAGATGCTATAAATATGCACCACGTGACTAGGAGGGGCCTGTGTGGTCCCTGCTATTACAAAGTGTGGGTTTATAATGTATTATGTATTTACCCAGTAACATTATGCCCATAGTGAGAGATTTTTCTTTCTTGGGCTCCATGATCACTGCAGATGGTGACAGCAGCCACGAAATTAAAAGACGCCTGCTTCTTGGGAGAAGGGCAATGACAGGCCTAGACAGCATCTTGAGAAGTAGAGACGTCACCTTGCTAACAAAGGTCCATATAGTTAAAGCTATGGTTTTCCCAGTAGTGATGTATGGAAGTGAGAGCTGGACCATAAAGAAGGCTGATCGCCGAAGAATTGATGCTTTTGAATTATGGTGCTGGAGAAGACTCTTGAGAGTCCCATGGACTGCAAGAAGATCAAACGCATCCATTCTTAGGGAAATCAGCCCTGAGCGCTCACTGGAAGGACAGATCGTGAAGCTGAGGCTCCAGTACTTTGGCCACCTCATGAGAAGAGAAGACTCCCTGGAGAAGACACTGATGCTGGGAAAGATGGAGGGCACAAGGAGAAGGGGGCGACAGAGGACGAGATGGTTGGATAGTGTTTTCGAGGTTACCAGCATGAGTTTGACCAAACTGCGGGAGGTAGTGGAGGACAGAGGTGCCTGGCGTGCTCTGGTCCATGGGGTCACGAAGAGTCGGACACGACTAAACGACTAAACAACAACAATTATGCCCATAAGAAGTTCACACGCACAAGAAGAATAAAGGAAGACTGGTTAATTACTTGAAATGCAAGTATAAATGGCCGATACCAGGGAAATGCAACATGGTTTGATTTCAGAAGAGAAAACTTCCCCCAAATGAGGAGGCTGGTAAAAAGGAAGTTGGTAAATCATTCCACTTGATTTTATACTGTAGATCAGGAAAGGTACCAGGACAGCAAAGAGGACACTGGGACGGTTAATCAGCAGAGACAGAGAAGCAGCGAGAAACTAGAAGGTTTCCTTCGAAAAACTGAAATCTTGTCCAAATTAAGAGAACAAAAAGGAACGCAAACTCTTGGCAAGAAAAGGTGCTAACAGACAGAAAGGGATTCTAGAAAAGACACTGAGGAACACATTGCTAGAAACATACCAAGGCCAACGACAAGAAGTGATTTAAATATGACTTAAGTTATTTAAATATCACTAGCAGGAAACTGTCTAGGGAGGCAGCTGGAAACTTGGGTGGCAAGAGAGCCAACGGAGTTGTGAGGAAGGAAAAGGAGATTGCAGAGAAGCCAAACAAATTATATCACAACAGAGGAAATAGGGCAAATTCCAGGACCTGAATTAACCTTTGTAGGAGACAAAGTCTAGAGAAGTAAGGCGGATAGTGAGATATGAAGTTCTGGGCCTAATAAAATAAAACTCAAGGGGTGGTCAGCTGTCTTTGTCATGGCCATGTCTGTGGCAGTGTTGCACTGTTGGAAGATAAAGGTACTGCCCATTATAGCTGTCAATCAACACCTCTGTTCTGGAGGCAGCTGAAACCAGCATGGGGCCATATTGTGCTTCTTCAAGAGTGCTCTGAGCAGTTAATACCCTGCTCAGTGCTAGACAAGAAGCTTACGCACATGGCCAACATGCAACAGCTTGGAATTTCTGTGGCGGATTCATTTACCATGTATTATTCTCTCCTGGACCTTGCTATCTCATTTTTCATCAGAGCACCTGATCAGCTCAAAGATTAACGGGGCTCCTTATTTTTCTCTGAGCAACACTTCAAAATAGATGCCAGCATAGTCAAATGAATGTATCAATCATATTTTTTTAAATAAAACAATAATAAATTTAATAATAATAAATTTTTATTTATACCCCACCCTCCCCGGCTGGGCTCAGGGCAACTAACACCAAAGATGAATTACAATAAAACGTAATAGAAAAAACAAAAACAAACAACAACAACCAAACAATTAAAATACAGCTTAAAATGCAGCCTCATTTTAGTTGTTGTTGTTGTTGTTTAGTTGTGTCCAACTCTTCGTGACCCCATGGACCAGAGCACGCCAGGCACTTCTGACTTCCACTGCCTCCCGCAGTTTGGTCAAATTCATTTTACTAGTTAGCCCATAAATCAAGACCATAAAGGGAGGAAACATCAGATATTCACCCGATCCGGCTATCCATGCTGGTCCTACATGTGCCAGCAAAAAAGCCAAGGGAAAATTTATATACCAAATCACATATAAGGGGTCAGAGTGAGTCTAAGCCGAAGGCCAGGCAGAACAGCTCCGTCTTGCAGGCCCTGCAGAAAGATGTCAAATCCCACAGGGACCGAGTCTCTTGTGACAGAGTGTTCCACCACATCGGGGCCAATGCTGAAAAGGCCCTGGCCCTAGTTGAGAGCAATCTACACTCAAATGTAATTTAAAATGATGTTTTAAAAAATAAAAACAAATAAATGAAAAAGATCGCTAGATCCAGTGGGCATCCATTACAAGAGTTGACGAAGAACTTAAATTGCTGATCTTGTATCAAAAAATGTAACTTGTGCCTTCATCAGCTTCCGTACCCGACAACCAGGATAGCTCGGTTGGTTAGAGAATGGAGCTGATAACGGCAAGCTTGCAGGTTCGATCCCTGAACGGGACAGCTGCGTATTCCTGCATTGAGGAGTTGGACCAGTCAAGAGGCGAGGGGAAAGTTGCTCTTGTGCTCATATCCTGCTTGCGGGTTTCCCACAGGCCTCTGTTGGGCGCTATGAAAACAGGAAGCAGGCCAAATGGACCACTGCACTGGCCTGATCCAACAGGCTATTCGTTTCTTCCTACACTGCATGATTAAATGGCACAAAGAGCAAATTCACGCCTCCAACGTCTAACAGTCAAGAGGAATAAAAATGTGCCCTTACCTAGAGAGGCCACCATCCCATAATTCTCCTCCATGACTTCCTTGTGCAGAGCTCTTTGGCCTGGATCCAGCAGAGCCCACTCCTCCTCCGTGAAAAACACAGCCACCTTCCTCAAATGTCAAGAGGGCCTGGAAGAAGAAGAGGAAGAAAACAGAGCTGCTCTTAGATCCCCATCATCCCCACTCAACACAGAGGGAGGCTGGGTTGATCCCATCTGTGCCTCTTCCCTCCTCCCTGATTTCCCATGCTCTTTCCCTACCTGAGGAAGCTGCCTGGCTCCTCTTTCCACTCCACCTTTAGGAAGAGATGGTCCAAACGGTGCCTCTGAGGCCATTGCACTGGCTGTAGGCGATTTGGAGGAGGCGTAAACTGGGCCACTTCTGGGACTCTCTCAGCAGTTGTCACGATGTACTTCAAAGCAGGGAGCAGCTCTTAAGTGGTGCCATTGCAGGGTCTGCAGGAGAGAGAAACAGGGAACATGTCATCCTGTGTACAGGAGGTTTATAGGATTATAAGCTGTCTCAGCCTTTAGGGGACATTCAGCATATGTTCATCCAGATACACAAGTTAGTAAAGTTTTAGGATCAAATTCAAAAACACATAAAGAAAGGTTATTCTTAATTATTATTATTATTAATAATAATACTCTGCCCATCTGGCTGCGTTTCCCCAGCCACTCTGGGCAGCTTACAACACATAAAAACGGTAAAACATTAGACATTAAAAATTTCCCTAAACAGGGCTGCGTTCAGATGTCTTCTAAAAGTCAGATACAGTCATATCTCATGTTACGTTTGCTTCATGTTATGTTCTTTCAGGTTACGTCCCGCGGTGACCCGGAAGTACCAGAAAGGGATACTTCTGGGTTTCGCTGCTCGCGCATGTGCATAAGCGCTAAATCGCGCTTAAGCGCCAAATCACAAGCCGCACGTGCTGCAGGTTGCGCTCTTTTCATGTTGCGAACGGGCCTCCGGAACACATCCCGTTCGCAACCAGAGGCACCACTGTAGTTGTTAATTCCTTTGACATCTGATGGGAGGGCATTCCACAGGGCGGGTGCCACTACCAAGAAGGCCCTCTGCCTGGTTCTGTGCAACCTCACTTCTCACAGTTAAGGGAACCAGCAGAAGGCCCTTGGAGCTGGACCTCAGTGTCCGGGCTGAATGATGGGGGTGGAGATGCTCCTTCAGGCCTACAGGGCCGTTTAGGGCTTTAAAGGCCAGCACCAACACTTTGAATTGTGCTCGGAAACGTACTGGGAGCCAATATAGGTCTTTCAAGACCGGTGTTATATGGTCCTGGCGACCACTCCCAGTCACCAGTCTAATTGCTACATTCTAGATTAGTTGTGGTTTCCAAGCCACCTTCAAAAGTAGCCCCACGTAGAGCGCATTGCAGTAGTCTAAGCGGAAGATAACCAGGGCATGCACCACTCTGTGGACACAGTCTGCGGGAAGGAAGGGTCTCAGCCTGCATACCAGATGGAGATGGTAGATAACTGCCCTGGACACAGATTTTGACCTGCACCTCCATGGACAGCTGTGAGCCAAAATTGCTCCCAGACTGCACACCTGGTCCTTCAGAGGCACGGTTACCCCCCTCAAGACCAGGGAGTCCCCCACACCTGCCCACCCACAAACAGTACATCAGTCTTGTCAGGATTCAACCTCAATCTTAGCCGTCATCCATCCTCCAACCTCTTCCAGACACTCATATACAGTGGTACCTCGCAAGACGAATGCCTCGCAATACGGAAAACTCGCAAGACGAAAGGGTTTTTGGTTTTTTGAGCTGCTTCGCAAGACGATTTTCCCTATGGGCTTGCTTCGCAAGACGGAAACGTCTTGCAAGTTTGTTTCCTTTTTCTTAAAACCGTTAATACAGTTGCGACGACTTCGAGGAGCAACTCATAGCACGCGGTGTGGTAGCCTTTTTTGAGGTTTTAGAAGACTTTGGTGATTTTTGAAGCTTTTCCAAAACTTTTCCGAAAATCGCAAGACGAAAAAACTCGCGGAACGAATTAATTTCGTCTTGCGAGGCGCCACTGTATCTATAGACCTCGCTTTTCGTTTCCTTCAAACAGCTATCTGGCAAACCATTTTCTGACCTTTGAAAACATTTTTAATAAAGAAAAAAGCAACCTCGTAAATTATTGCCCATCTCTGGTTGGAAGAAAACTGGTATTTGGAGAGAATCAGGTTGCAGAAGCTCCATACAAGCTGGTGTGTGAGGTGGGTGGCTTGAGAGCACTCCAACTAGGTCAAACTAGGACTGGGGGAAGGAGATACGAAGTTTGGTGATATTGGTACCCTAGGCCAAAATCCAGCCTTCGAGTCCTCCCCATCCAGCACTCAGGAATCTCCCCAAGCCAAACACCCTCTCCATCACTGCCCTGAGTCCTTGCTGACAGAATTTACGTGGCCGGAAAGGATCCTTTGAATGGTACCTCGGGTTACATACGATTGTGTGAATACAGTGGTACCTCGGGTTACATACGATTCAGTTTACAAACGCTTCAGGTTACAGACTCCGCTACCCAGAAATAGTACCTCAGGTTAAGAACTTTGCCTCAGGATGAGAACAGAAATTGTGCTCCGGCGGCGCAACAGCAGCAGGAGGCCCCATTAGCTAAAGTGGTGCTTCAGGTTAAGAACATACCTCCAGAACGAATTAAGTACTTAACCCGAGGTACCACTGTACCTACTGGACAAAGCTCAGTCACATCCCTAACTCCACCCACTTTTGTCTCTGGTCCCGCCCACAAATGGAAGTGGCCCCTGGAAGGCTGCTAAGGGAGCGAATGTGGCCCTCTGGCTGAAGAACACTCCCCTCTCCTGTTCCAACCACTACATTTTACTCTGCTTATCATCCTGGCCAACCTCACAGGGTTGTTGTGTGAGCACTGCCCAAGTGGTGGGCTTTGGAACCCCTTTAACACTAATTTCCCCTGTCAATCTGGATGTTTTTAGGGCAGGGGAGGAGGGGGGACAAGAATGAGGCTGGCAGCCCCAGCAGAAAAAGACCCTCAGCATCCCTGAGCTGAGCCAATCCTGCAAGAGAGTCCAGATCCCCCCCCACACACACACATGGAGGCTTTGATCTCCCCCTCCAACAAACTCCCAAGAGGGTATCTGGAGAATATCCCCTTTTCGGAAAGAAAAAGCATCAAAACCTGGTGGTGGTGGGTGGGGATGCACGTTCTTCCCCTAGTGAGCTGGACAGGAGGCATTTATTTGATTCATCCAGCCTTGAGACTATTTAGAAGGCTTTTAAGTCCCTAAACCATTTCATATCCCTGCACCAAATGCAAGTCTCAGAATCCATTCCTCTGTTCAAACACGGGTTAAGACAGACAGATAGATATAGATGATAGATAGGAGGAGCAGGCAAGCCCCAACTTTGCACAATCAATCACATGATACGGCTCTCTCCCCCCCCCCCATTTGAATGGCAATGCCCATCCACTTGGGTTAGTGGTAGCGGTCCCCTCAAATATTTTATGGGGGGCATCGAAGGGACCCCCCAGGACCTGGCTCCTCTGGGTGGGGTGGAGAGACGACACTTTTCAGCTGGGTGGCCTGGATCAACGTCCGGGGGGGGGCGCTCCTCCCTGCTTTTCTCCCATTCTCGCCCCCCCAAAACCCCTCCCCCCCAGCAATGCAAAATTACCCCCAAATATGTTGCACCTCTTTCCCTTCTTCCTGCTCCTCTTCCGGGGAAAGCGGGTTGAGACCCCTCCCCGCCTCTCGAGTAGCCGGAGGTCATTGAGCCAGAGGGAAGGGTGAAGATCTCCCTCTCCCTGCGAGCAGAAATCGGTGGAAACCACAGTCTGCTCCCACCCGCAGATCACAAGCTGGGAGGGGCGGCTCTGCCTTCGTAGCTCTATGGGCCGCCGCGTTCGAAAGGGAACCCGAAGTGTCGCTGCCATGGTTCCCAAAGCTGCAGGAAGCGCTGTTCGGAGGCTGTTTCCAAGCCGGGGGGGGGGGGGGAGGAAGAGGGAATCCTAACCCCTCCACTTTTTTTCCTGGTAGGGGAAACTTGTACTGAGGGGGAGGCCGGTTTCTGGGGAGGACAAAGAAGTAAAGGCGCAGATTGGGGCGGGGGGAGAGAATGATGATAAGGGGGGGGGGAGGCGGGATGGGGGATCTGATCCATGCAATGTACATGCAACTAAAAAGTTTCATTTTTTGCATCGCGCAACATTTTTTTGCATTGCACAAAATTGTTTGACACCCGCCCCCTCTGCAGTTTCCTGTACGGGATGAGTGGGAGGACGAGCCTTGTTGCGGAGGGAAATGGCCTTAGTTGAACTGGGTGAGAGAAGGACAACAAGCTCTTTCCCACCCCCGACCAACGCCGAGCAAAAACAAAAGGACGGCGAAGAGACACACCCCCCCCCCCAGGTATCCCCGCTTCAAAATGGGATTTTGATGATAGGCTCTTCTTGACACCCCTCACCCAGCAGAATGATGATGGAGACGCTCCTTCAGGTATACTGGGCCGAGGCCGTTTAGGGCTTTAAAGGTCAACACCAACACTTTGAATTGTGCTTGGAAACATACTGGGAGCCAATGTAGTCAAGAGCAGTGTTATGTGGTCTCGGTGGCCGCCCTGAGTCACCAGTCTAGCTGCCGCATTCTGAATTAGTTGTAGTTTCCGGGTCATCTTCAAAGGTAGCCCCACGTAGAGCGCATTGCAGTAGTCCAGGCGGGAGATAACTAAAGCATGCACCACTCTGGAGAGACAGTCTGTAGGCAGGTAGGGTCTCAGCCTCCGTACCACGTAGAGCTGGTGGACAGCTGCCCTGGATACAGAATTGACCTGCGCCTCCATGGACAGCTGTGAGTCCAAAATGACTCCCAGGCTGCGCACCTGGTCCTTTAGGGGTAGTTACCCCATTCAGGATCAGGGAGTCCTCCACACCAGCCCACCCCCTGTCCCCAAGAATCCTGTCAGGATTCAACCTCAATCCATTAGCCGCCATCCAACCTCCTCCAGGCACTCACACAGGACCTTCACCGCCTTCACTGGTTCTGATTTAAAAGAGGTAAGAGTTGGGTATCATCTGCATATTGATGGACACCCCGTCCAAATACCCTGATGATCTCTCCCAGCGGCTTCATGTAGATGTTGAAAAGCATGGGGGAGAGGACGGAACCCTGAGGCACCTCACAAGTGAGGGCCCAGGGGTCTGAACACTCATCCCCCACCACCACTTTCTGAACACGGCCCAGGAGGAAGGAGTGGAACCACTGTATAAGAGTACTCCCAGCTCCTCTAGACAGTCCAGAAGGAGCTTAGGCTATGGTAAAAAGGTAAAGGTACCCCTGACCGTTAGGTCCAGTCATGGACGACTCTGGGGTTGCGCGCTCATCTCGCTCTATAGGCTGAGAGAGCCGGCATTTGTCCGCAGACAGCTTCCAGGTCATGTGGCCAGCATGACTAAGCTGCTTCTGGCAAATCAGAGCAGCCCATGGAAACACTGTTTACCTTCCCACCAGAGTGGTACCTATTTATCTACTTGCACTTTGATGTGCTTTTGAACTCCTAGGTGGGCAGGAGCTGGGACTGAACAATGGGAGCTCACCCCGTCGCGGGGATTCGAACCGTGAACTTCCGATCAGCAAGCCCTAGGCTCAGTGGTTTAGACCCGTGTCCCAAGGCTGGGCTTTTCTCTCTGGCCAGCTACTAGGGGGTGGAGAACATTTCCTCAGGATTGGCCTCATCGGAGCAGGGGCACGCACCTGTCAAAATCTGCACCTTGCAGTAGTCTCATTGCTGAGCCGCAATGTTCAGAGCTCAGTGGAGTGAGACCAGCCAACTTGACGAGTCTCTGAGGTGCTAGCATCCAAAGTCAGGTCCAGACCTAGGGCCGGACGAACAGCAATCCACATGGTCAGATGGTCCAGGGGTCATGGAATCCAATGTTCATAGTGATAAGGGTCAAAGCGAGCAGGAAGCAGCAAGGTAGGGCCAGAAACTATAAGCGTTGTTTCCAGCATCTGACTGCTGCTTGATGCTCTGTGGCAAGGCCATCTGGAAGAGCTTTACCTTTATGCCTTATGTATAACCATGTACCCTAACAATGCATAATTGTTAATGCTAGAAGTGCCTAAAATCTTAAGAATCAAAGTCTCTCTCTGCCCTGTTGCTGTGCTTGCAGAAAGCAAATAAATATTTAGCTACTTCTGCGTTCTGTAGGGAACATTCCTCAGGCTGTTTCTTAGGCTCACGAAAATAGCACGAGACGGTCGCGCCGACCTGAGAAACAGGAAATTGGATGTTTGCCACATAACATAAGGCATCTGCCTGATAACAGAAGGGGGGATTTTGGCTTCAACTGCCAAAGGGTTTCCCCCTCTTTCTGCTAGTTTGCTGAAAATAGGGTAAAGGCCGTTGATGATTTCTTATGCACATATATGGAAAAGCAGAAGTAATCTTTACATGGACATAGGAAGGGCTGCACCCATGTTCATTGGTTTGATTTTGCTGCAATATATGAATATGTAATGTTTAATTGCTGTTTGGAATAAGGTATATAAACCTAAAGCCCCTAGGGCTCTGGGCCCAGGCTCTGGAAATCATTCCTCTGGGTCTTTATTGCTCAGCAATAAATTTTTACTTTCTTTTTCTCCACTGCTGTGTCTGTCGATTCTTGAGCATATCTTGAATGGGTAACAGGTATTCCTTATCTCCTTGCAACAGTTCTGCTTAAGAAGGATGAAGCCAGCTGCTTCTCATAAGTGCCTTCTCCTCTGAGTCCTTGAAGGCTGGTCAGCTGAAGGTGGAGTCACTCCTCTTCTTTCACGCTGCTGTTCAGCAGGCAAAGTGGACTCCTGGCCCATGGCACTCTGCAGATTTGCAAACTGCCATTTGAACCAGTTTCCTGCCTCCTGGAAAACTGTATTTTTGTCTTCAGAGGTTTCCATAGGGCGTGAAAATAGGAAAGAGAAGAACTCCAGAGGTGATGAATAAAGAGAAGCAGGTCGTTGGTTTTGACTGCTGATCAGATCATTGGTCCCTGCCTTGAACTCCTAACACATTTCCCTTCTTCCTTCTTTCCCCCAAACAGGCAAAGGACAGGAGAAAAAGTTGTCATCAGAAACAGGCAAGCAGAAACCAGGAAAAGAGGCGTCCGGGAATAGAAAGGGACTGATAAGGACAGAGAGAAACAAGTCAGAGAAGAAATCATGTACTCTTCAGGGTCCTGATACTTATGAACGCTCAATCCCACAGAAAAACAACAAAGGGAAAGAAAAGGTGAAGTATCCAGTGGGGAGGGAAATACAGTGGTACCTCAGGTTACATATGCTTCAGGTAACATACGCTTCAGGTTACAGACTCCGCTAACCCAGAAATAGTACCTCAGGTTAAGAACTTTGCTTCAGGATAAGAACAGAAATCGTGCTCCGGCGCTTCAGGTTAAGAACAGTGGTGCTTCAGGTTAAGAACAGTTTCAGGTTAAGAACGGACCTCCGGAACAAATTAAGTACGTAACCAGAGGTACCACTGTACTGAAAAAGAAGTCAGTTGACTTCCCTATAAAATTCCATCAATGCCATATCTAAAAGTGCGGGTTTGGTTTGTTCTATGGCTTGCTGGTTTAAGAACCATGTATGCCTACCAAAAACCACAATATTGGTCTTAGAGTAGTTTATGGATAAACATTCCTGCTTGTAATACACACTAATAAAGTGGTACCTCAGGTTACATACGCTTCAGGTTACATACGCTTCAGGTTACAGACTCCGCTAACGCAGAAATAGTGCTCCAGGTTAAGAACTTTGCTTCAGGATGAGAACAGAAATCGTGCTCTGGTGGCGCAGCAGCAGCAGGAGGCCCCATTAGCTAAAGTGGTGCTTCAGGTTAAGAACTGTTTCAGGTTAAATACGGACCTCCGGAACGAATTAAGTACTTAACCAGAGGTACCCCTGTAGATTGAACTAATAGTTCAATAGATTTTTGAAGACCCAGCCGCGGGAGGGAGAAAAACACCAGATTATGAATTTCAGTAGGGACAAATGTAAGGTGCTACACTTAGGCAGGAAGAACCAGATGCAAAAATATAGGATGGTGGATACTTGACTTACTAGCAGTACATGTGAAAAGGATCTAGGGCAGGCATGTCCAAAGTCCATTTCAGGGGCCTAATCTGGCCCACTGGTCAGTTTAATCTGGCCCCTGTGGAAGTTTATTTTCTGGGGTAAAATCCTAAAAAAAGCTCTCTCTGGCCCTCTTTGAAAAAAGTTTGGACACCCCTGGGGGTCTTGGTGGACCACAAGCTTAACACGCTATTCTAGGCTGCATCAACAGAAGCCTAGTGTCCAGATTAAAGGAAGTAATAGTACTGCTCTATTCTGCCTTCGTCAGACCACACCTGGAATACTTTGTCCAATTCTGGGCACCACAATTTATGAAGGATGTTGACAAGCTGGAACATGTGCACAGGAGGGCAACCAAGATGATCAAAGGTCTGGAAACAAAGCCTTATGAGGAACAGTTGAAGGAGCTGGGTATATTTAGCCTGGAAAAGAGGAGGCTGAGAGATAATAGCCATTTTCAAATATATTAAGGGCTGTCACATGGAAGAGGGAACGTACGTGTTTTCTCCTGCTCTAGAGGGTAGGACTTTCTGACATTAAGAGCTGTTCAGCAGCGGAATGGGCTTCCACAAGAGCGGGTAGACTCTCCTTCGTTGGAGTCTTTTAAGCAAAGGTTGGATGGCCATCTGTCATGGATGCTTTAGCTTAAATTCTTGCATTGCAGGGGGTTGGACTAGATGACCGCTGGGTCCCTTCCGGTTCTACATACATGAGAATATTGCACATATCAGAATACTGATATTTGGGGTATGTTAAAAAAGGGGTGTATGGGGTGGTACCTCTGGTGGGGGACACGTCATGCTCCTTCTCAGGTAGTTGGTCCAATTTTGGTCCCCAACCTGCACTCAGCTCTCACCTGTGGCTCCTAGAAGCTGCCAGCAGGCGACAGTGGTCACACTCTGGGAAACGGCTTCAACTGGCTGGCTAAACCAGGTGAGGGTATCAAACCCCTGGCAAGCTGGGGACGTCCCCTGCATGCGAAAACAGGCTCTGGTAGATTGAGCAGACAGGATCATGAGTGGGTCCAACAGTTGAAAAGGTGCTTTCTGTTGCAGAGGGAAGTGAGGGGCAGATGGGGCTCACCCACCTGGAAAAGGGAGCCCATCTAGGAGAAGGAAGTCTGATCCTTAATCTCCATTGCCTTGCAGGGTATCTTCAGGAGAGGAAAAGGCTACACAAATCCAGAGTGGAGTTTGTAAGATGATGCCTCGCATGTTTTCTTCCAGAAACTCCTGCAGCCAAGCTGGTGCCAAACATCTTCTCTGACTGTCTTGCCAGAGTGGTGCATGCTCTGGTTATCTCCAACTTGGACTACTGCAATGCGCTCTCCGTGGGGCTACCTTTGAAGGCGACCTGGAAACTACAACTAATCCAGAATGCGACAACTAGACTGGGGAATGGGAGTGGCTGCCGAGACCATATAACACCAGTCCTAAAGGATCATCCCTGGCTCCTAGTACGTTTCCGAGCACAATTCAAAGTGTTGGTGCTGACCTTTAAAGCCCTAAACGGCCTTGGCCCAGTATACCTGAAGGAGCATTTACTCCCCCATCGTTCAGCCCAGACACTGAGGTCCAGCTCAGAGGGCCTTCTGGCGGTTCCCTCCCTGCGATAAGTGAAGCTACAGGGAACTAGGCAGAGAGCCTTCTCGGTAGTGGTGCCCGCCCTGTGAAACGTTCTCCCATCAGATGTCAAGGAAATAAACAACTATCTGACTTTTAGAAGACATCTGAAGGCAGCCCTGTTTAGGGAAGTTTTTAATGTTTGATGTTTTAGCGTATTTTTAATATTCTGATGGGAACCTCCCAGAGTGGCTGGGGACACCCAGCCAGAAGGGCGGGGTATAAAAAGTAGAGCTGTTCTGAACAGAGCACTTTCCTACTATAAAGGTAAAGGGACCCTTGACAGTTAAGTCCAGTCGCAAACGACTCTGGGGTTGCGGCGCTCATCTCGCTTTACAGGCCAAGGGAGCCAGCGTTTGTTCTCAGACAGTTTTTCTGGGTCATGTGGCCAGCATGACTGAGCCGCTTCTGGCACTTTGATGTGCTTTTGAACTGCTAGGTGGTCAGGAGCTGGAACCGAACAACGGGAGCTCACCCCATCACGGCACAGTGGTTTAAACCACTGCGCCACCCATCTCCCTTCCTACTATATGCATTGGAATTTTAAACAGGGACATTTGAGAGGGATCATTGGAGGAGACTGAAGATAGAGAGCTGGCGTCTTTGGTGGGAATGCCCAAAATCCAACTATTCTAGACAACGATCATATAAGAAATATGCAAAATAACTAAGCAAGTATTAGAAGTCACCCTACTAAACATCTTCCAAGACAATAATGCCCACTCACATCATAAAGAGCTCATAACCCACTGTCGTGGGACTGCCAAGGAACGCCTTTGAGTGGGGGGGGAGAAGAGTCAGAGTGGGAACAGTCAGAAGGAGACAGAAAGGAAGTGACGGAAGGGGAAGAGGGAGAGAGCCAGGAGGCGGGAAGGCTCCCTGATGCTGAAGCAGAGCCCCAGCACCGCACAGGGAGCTCAGGAACAGACGGAGAGCCTATGCAAAGGAGAAGGTTAAAGCGCAGGGATCAGAGACGTCCCATGAAGTTCCCCCGCCTTTTCTATTGGAGGAGAAGCAGGAGAAGACCACTCCCCAAATCTGAACCGGACGATTCAGATGCATGATTGTACTGTGCTGCTTGTACATATGTAAAATAAAGAACTGTAAATATCTCTCTGAGTGAGCAGAGGGTGCTTATTGCGAAGAGCACACACAAACCATCACACCCACCTACTCTCAGCAGCCAGAAACAACATAGCCAGACACTGGAGAGACCTCTCAGGAACAAGCATGGACCAATGGTACTATATAGTATGGGAAACAGCCTTATTAGAAAAACTAACCAATAAACTGAAACTGACACAGGGACGAATGGAAGAAGACGCCTTCACCCTGGTATGGCTCCCCTTTATCGCATACACAGCCCAACAAGCCAATGACAAGAATCCGCCAACAGCATACGAATCAATATGGTTAACCTGATTCAAAAACACCCGCCCACCCCACTCACACATGAAAACAAAGTTCACCACAGCCAATCACACACAACTATACGCTAAGCCAACTCCAACCTCTCACCACCAAAGGAATACAAGCGAATGGTAAAGAGATCCCGCACAAGTGACTCCGACACAAAACCCCACATATACATTAAGTAGAAGCATTGCCACCCGACCCCACCCCCACTCACCATGCCCCCTCCCTTTCCCCCTTTTCTTCCTAATGCATCACTAATGTCTCCACAAATGAAACTGATCTGTAGAAAATGGATCTTGAAAAAAGAAACATTGCACATGCTTTTGTAAACCAGTAAATCTTTAATAAAATATGTTAGCGAAACAAAAAAAAACCAGGTGGTTGTTTGAGCTGTTTGGAGGCTTGATGGTGAGCCGGTTTGTGGCTGTGTGCTCCGCTAGAGCCCGCGGTCTGAGGGGTAGAAGCTACTGCTGAGAAGCAGCCACGTTGAAAGAGGAAGTTGAGGGAAGGAGTTGGAAACCATCAGCAGATATACTTAGCTGATTGCAGCTTCCAGGAGCTTGTGAACAGGGGAATTTGTGAGGGTGTTTGGTGGGGGATTTGAGGGCAAGGCTTGCAGTGCTGCCTCAGAATGGGGCATAGGAAGGTGAGGGAGCTGCTGCAAGGACTTGCCAGACCTGTGCCACATTTATCTTCCTGCCGAAGAATGTGCAAAAGCACACCTGTCACAAGTACAAATTGGTTGCCTTGCTGGAAGAGAAGGTACAGCAACTTGAGGTCCACCTCGTTGCCAGACTTCGAGCTTTGGGGCAAGATGTGGAGTCCCTTGACGGAGCTGAGTGGACTGTGCTGGAACACCAACTTGGATAGGTGCCCCTACAGAGGTGGAAGATCACCCATAGCAGGAGACAAGATGCCTGGAGGTACGTGGCACAGAAGGAGGACTGTCGGGAGCCAGGCCGAGTCATTGGAGCTGCAAAATCAATTCCACGCCCTCACTTTGGACACAGTTTCTGGGCCGCAGGAGCTAGGACAGCAGTTGCTGACCTCAGAATGCACCAAGGTGGCTTCGAAAGGTACAGTGCCCAGAATGATTTCTGCCACACACACACCAGAGGAGGAGATTGACTTAGAGGAGTCATTTTTCATTCTGGATCTAAACCCTTCAGATCGAAGGCTACTGATTGTGGATGCTCTGACAACTCATATATTCTAAAACTTTAAACAACAAATCCCAGGAAACCTTATCAAATACTTTCTCAACATCAAACATTAAAGCCGCTTGTTTTTGTTGATGTGTGAGCAGCCACAGTGAATACAAAAATTCTGCCACTCCGCAGAAGTGAAAGAGACACTGCTGGTGTCTCCCTACTGAGGTGGACAGAGGCAGCAGTGTGCGGAGGAAACAGAATGTCCCGGGAGGTGTGTTCGTCTTCCAGGTGCATAAATTCAAGATTTGGCAGAGAAGTTGCCAAGTCTTATAAAGCCCACTGGTCAACTACCCGTTCCTTCTTATCCGCAACACACAGCCTTCAACATTTAACAAGGGACTCTGGGCAGGAAGCTGAAAGGCTTTTGGGCACAGGTGGTGCGTTCATCATTTCTTCCTATTGAGGGCTGTAGCCCAGGGAGAGAGAGGAAAATACTGGAAATAAACCACTGGCCGTGCAAGCAGTGTCGTCAGGAAGGGTTTGGCTTAAGTAAAATCCCACCAAGACTTTGGTTGCAGAAGTCCTGGAAGGTGGCCATCACAGTCACCTGACTTGAACTCCATAGAAAACCTCTGGTGGGATCTGAAAAGGGCGGTTGAGGCATGCAAAATATTACTGAACTGGAGGCCATTGCTCATGAGATTCTTCAGCTGCCAGAAGCTGCTGTCTGGCTACGCATCTCATTTGCAGCAGGTCATGGGAGCCAAAAGCTGCTCTACTAAGTGCTAAAGATCCTTGACATTAAGTGTTTGAATAATAGTGAGACTGGATAAGCCAGTATAAGTTGCACTGTCAGCGGAATTTGGGGAAACCATTGGAAACATCCGTTGTGTTGAGTTTTTTCAATTGCCTTTCTTTGATTTGCTCATGGCAAACAGCTGAAAGTCTGTAAATTTTGATAATGAACCCGTTTTGCAATGGAGGTTGAATAATGTCAATTGCAACTGTATTTAGAGAGAAACAACTGTGTAGAAGAAACTGAAAAATTGGATGATGCCTTCCGAGAACAGATGACCAAACATTTAAAAAGGAGATATCGTAGTCATTGGAGACTTGAGCTACCCCAAACTCTGTTGGAACTCAAATTCTTCCAAGAATTCACCCATTGCATTGCTATTTCATTTCCCAGATGATGGAAGGAACAACAAAGAGATTGTTTATCTTGGATCTGATGCTCACCAAAAGAGAGGAACTGGTTGAAGTACTGGGAAACTTGGGAGGAAGTGATCATGTCCTCCTGGGTTTATGATACACAAGCAAGGAAAAGCTGAGTGTAGTCAGACATGCACTCTGGGCTTTAAGGCCAATTTCAAAAAGCTTAAGGAGCGCCAAGAGGAAGGGAGTCTAAAGTGGATGGGCGTTTCTTAAAGGTGAAATACTGAATGCCCAAATGCAGACAATCCAAACGAGACAGGAACATGGTATGGCTTAGAGATCAGCTGAGAATTAACAAGGGCATGTATAAGAAATGGAAGTTGAAGGGTGAATGTCAGGCGGGCTAAAGCTCAGGCTTGCAAGAGAGCTAAACATAATAATAAAGGTTTCTTCAGCTATGTTCAAAGCGAGAGGAAGAACAAGCAAGTTGTAGGGTCCTCTCTGTGAAGAAGACTGAGAAATACTATTGACTAAGGGAAGGCAGAACTGCTCAACGCCAACTTTGCCTCTGTCTTCACCCCAAAGGAAAGCAGTGCCAAACCTGGCGACAACAAAATAAATAATGTAAGGAAGGAGCTGCAGCCCAAGATAGAAAAAGAGGTGGTTCTATGTTTTTTATGATTTCTTCTTTGTGTGGATTCTTTGATGCTTAGTAAGGTCACCATTCCCACTGAAGCTCTTTCCGCACTCTGTACATTTAAACGGTTTCTCCCCTGTGTGTGTTCTTTGATGTAAAGCAAGGTGAGCACTTTGACTAAAGCTCTTTCCACACTCCTTGCATAGGAACGGTTTTTCCCTTGTGTGGATTCTTTTATGCTTAGTAAGGTCACCTGACCCACAGAAGCTTTTTCCACACTCCGTACATTTAAATGGTTTCTCCCCTGTGTGTGTTCTTTGATGTAAAATAAGGTGAGCTTTCTGACTAAAGCGTTTTCCACACTCCTTGCATAGGAACGGTTTTTCCTTTGTGTGGATTTTTTGATGCTTGATAAGGCCATCACCCCCACTGAAACTCTTTCCGCACTCTGGACACTTAAACTGTTTCTCCCCTGTGTGTGTTGTTTGATGCTGAGCAAGGTCACCACTCCCACTGGAGCTCTTTCCACACTCCAAAGATTTGAATTGTTTCTCCCCTGTGTATGTTCTTTGATGAAAAGTAAGGTGAGCTCTTTGAGTAAAGCCCTTTCCACACTCCATGCATTTGAAGGGTTTCTCCCTCGTGTGGATTCTGAGATGCTTAGAAAGGTCACCGCTTCCAGTGAAACCTTTTCCACACTCCATACACTGAAACGGTTTCTCCCCTGTATGTGTTCTTTCATGTAAAGTAAGGTGAGCGCTCTGACTAAAGCATTTTCCACACTCCATGCACCTGAACGGTTTCTCCCTTGTGTGGATTCTCTGATGCTTAGAAAGGTCACCACGTCCAGTGAAACTTTTTCCACACTCGGTACATTCAAATGGTTTCTCCCCTGTGTGGATTCTATGATGCATGCTAAGGCTTCCACTATGGCTGAAGCTCTTTCCACACACCGTACATTTAAATGGTTTCACCTCTGTATGAATCCCATGAGTTCGGTAATGCATTTTTAATTGTGATCTATATCTAAATATTTCACCACACTCTGTACATTTGTTTTCTGTGTGATCTTTCTTTGAGACGAGGGGTTCAGGGACATCAATGTCCTGAGAAGCCGTGGATTTCTTTTTTGCTTTCTTTGACTTGTTTCTTTCATGATCTGGGGTTTCTATTTGATTTACAGACATTTCTTTTGATGCTTCGTGTTCTGAGTTTTCTGACGACACCACGGCGGATGTCTCCCCGCAATTGTTCTGCCCACTGCCTGTTTCAGGGGAGGGAGAAAAAGGAAATGTCACTCAAACGGCAAGCAGAGATCTCGTTACGGATTGAGCCCAGTTCTCTGCTTCTCTGATTTTGTCATTTTCAGAGTGGCTGGGGCAACGCAGCCAGATGGGTGGTGTAAAAATAAAATCATCATCATTACTATGATTAAGCATCTTCCATTTCTTCTCTTCATGCCCAGCTCAATCTGAGGTTAGCTTCTAAATATCCTACAGTCTCAAGACGACAACAACACAAGCCCCTTCCTGTTCTATCTCCCACCTGGTTTCACTAAGCACAGGTGAGTCTGATTTGATGCAATTGGGGTTGGAGGAGATAAGACATGAAAAAGGCTGGGGAGGAGACCAAGCGGGGAACAAAGCGCTCCTCCTTGGTTATGGTTTTGGCTGCGGTCAAAAGACACTTGTAAATTATAGGAGCACAGAAATCTGCCAGGTGCTCAGCTAGTATGTCTTGTTTTTCTTTGATAATTGATAAAGCTTACAAAAAAAATTCTCATTCCAAGGGAAATCTGAGCATCTCTCGCTCTTTCATTTGGGAGGAACATATCACCTGTTGCTCGCTGCCCAATTTGATTCAGGTAACTGGGATTTAATCAGGGTTTACTCAGCTCTGCACCAATGATCATTATTTTCAGAATGGTAATGCTGTTATTTTATCACGTTTTTATGTCATTAACCTCATTGATCGTCTTTTCTGATTAAGTTTGATTAAGTTCTATGGAAGAAATGTCTTTTCCATGTGCTGGAATGCTCACCCTTGTACACTAGACTGATACGACTAACTTCCTTAATGTGGCAGAAGTTAAAGAAGGAATCCAGCTGAAAAAGTTAACTGTCAGCTCCGTTTCTGCTGCGCAGAAATCAGGTGTAGATTTGTCCTCCAAACAAAGCGAAATTGTCACACCTTCAAATCCCTGAGTGAAAACACAACCTACCTGCTGACGTCTCCCCTTCTTTGTCAACCTGGAGAAGCTGCTCTTGCCTTCCTTCCCAGTACGAACTGAGGTCTGATTCTTTCAAGGAAAGAGAGAGCAGTTACTTTGGACCACAAAGCACCCAGCCATTCCCAGTCAAGCCAAGTCTACGACCATAAACCCAAGAGGGCCAATTCCGATCCCTTATGAACTAGCAAAAGGGCTCAGCATGAAATGGAGCTCAGCATGAAACCTCTGTTGCAGGGATGACGCTGCAGAACTTAGCAAAGCTAGCTGTCTTGATTTGGACTACCGTGGCTCAAAACACAGAAAGCAAAAACCAGCCCCCGGAAGCCAGCCCTTCTTCCTCATCCACAGCAGGCCAAGGCTGTGGGGTACTTCAAATTTACAATTTGAGATGAGGTATTTTCCCATTGAGATTCAAGCCACTGCGATATTTCATGTTCACAGAATTGTAGAGTTGGAAGGGACCCCGAGGGTCCCACCCCCTGCAATGCAGGAATCTTTTGCCTGACGTGGGGCTCAAACCCTTGAACCCTGAGATTTAAGAGCCCCATGCTCTACCGACTGAGCTAATGGAGGAGAGGGCTAATGCTTTTGGAAGCTGAACGTCTGACGGGGCTTCTGAACGTTTTGGAAGTCGAACGGACTTCCGGAACGTATTGCATTCCACTTCCGAGGTACCACTGTAATAGTATTAATAATAAATCTTGGGGTTACATGCAAAAGCGGAAGTTTTGCAACCGTTTGCTCTTAAGACTCCACCAAATGTATTGGTTTACTCTGGGAACGCCGGAAACCAAAAGTGGCCAAGATGTTCTTAACTATGGGTAGGCAAATCCGGATCCAGCCCAATCGCCTTCTAAATCTGGCCCGCAGACGGTCCGGGAATCGGAGCGTTTTCACAGGAGTAGAATGTGTCCTTTTATTTAAAATGCACCTGTGGATTATTTATGGGACCTGCCTGGTGTTTTTACATGAGTAGAATGTGTGCTTTTATTCAAAATACATCTCTGGGTTATTTGTGGGGCATAAGAATTCATTTTTATTTTCAAAATATAGTCCGGCCCCCCACAAGGTCTGAGGGACAGTGGACCGGCCCCCTGCTGGAAAAGTTTGCTGACCCCTGTTCTTAACGTTAAGATCCTGCTTGCAGGCTTCCCCACAGACATTTTCTTGGGATGCAGGATACTACCGTGAACAAGACACTGGGTTGGGGGGTCACTGGATTGGACCAGTTATTCCTCCACTGCATGCAGAAATATGTTTCCTTACCTAGAGAGGTCACTGTCTCGTAATTCTCCTCCATAACTTCCCTGTTCAGAGCTCTTTGGCTTGGATCCAGCAGAGCGCACTCCTCCTCTGTGAAACGCACGGCCACCTCCTCAAAGGTGACCAGGCCCTGGAAGAAGAAGGAAATATCTCTTCTCTTAGATCCCTTCCCTACTCGACATAAAGGGAGGCAGAGTTGCCTCTTCCCTCGTCCCCATTGCTCTTTCCCTACCTGTGGGCGCTGCTTGGCCCCTCTTTCCACTCCATCCCTAAGAAGAGAGGGTCCAGGTTGTGCCTCTGACGCCATTGCGCTGCCTTTGGAAGAAGATGGAGGATAAGGAGGCAGAAACTGGGCTGCACTTCAACGAAGGGAGTAGCTCTCAAGTGGTCCCTGCAGGGGAGAGACAAGGGAAGGGAAGAATTTCATCCTTTATATGGGAGCAGGGTGGATTTGATTTAAATCAAATCGATTTAAATTACGATTTAAATCATTAGTCAGTAAGACTTGATTTAAAACTTTCTTTTTTTGCAGAAAGACTCATTCCTGATGGTATAATCTTAATATTTACAACCAGATAAAGGTTTCATTTTTTGAATAATAATTCTCAGAGTAGTTTATACAGTTATATCAAAAATTACTAATTTGGTTATACTGTTAGAAATACATAGACTGATAATTTCCATAATAACAATTTAAACAATTATGTAACAATAATAATAATAATAATTTATTATTTATACCCTGCTCATCTGGCTGGGCTTCCCCAGCCACTCTCGGCGGTTTCCAACCAAATATTAAAATACAGTAATACATCAAACATTAAAAGCTTCCCTAAACAGGGCTGCCTTCAGATTATAGGATATGTATCCACGTTTGTTAACTGCTGTGGTTAAACACTTTAAAAAAACACACCTTAGACTGAGTTATAGCACACATGAAAAACTTAAAACAAATCCTTATTTCCTGATGAATAGCCTTTGGACTATAATGGAACCTGAAAAGACAACGATCTTTAGAAAAAGATTTTCCCTCCAAAACATTTTATTTAAAAAATCCAAATAAAATTTAAAAAACCCCAACCTACGATACTGAGAGTAAGAGTCCTCATGCTGCACCAACTGAGCTATCCCTGTGCACCCCCCCAAAAAAGATGCTCTACATCCCTGTTCTAACCATTTTACAGTGCTGTTGAGAGAGCAACGTGGAGGGGCTGCATCGTATCCTCAAGCTACATCTCAGGAGGAGCTCTGGACCAGTCTCTTCAATGCAAGAAACAGCAGCAAAACTCCCTGGGGCAGAGTGGTATTTATCCCACCCCCAAGTCCAGCTGGGGCAGGGGCATTTTACTTATCTCCCCGATTAAGAACTCAATACAGTGGTACCTCGGGTTACATACGCTTCAGGTTACAGACTCTGCTAACCCAGAAATATTACCTCGGGTTAAGAACTTTGCTTCAGGATGAGAACAGAAATCGTGCTCCAGTGGCGCGGCGGCAGCAGGAGGCCCCATTAGCTAAAGTGGTGCTTCAAGTTAAGAACAGTTTCAGGTTAAGAACGGACGTCCGGAACGAATTAAGTACTTAACCCGAGGTACCACTGTAGTTTAGTATGGCAGCACAATTAATTATTGAGGCCGGAGGAACATCGCCCGGCTGTGAGTGCGAAGGCTGCTCCCTGCAAGGCCCCTCCACCTGGCCTAGGGGGCTGGGCCCAGACTCACCTGCCCCACTGAAGATGCTCCTCATGAGGCCGGAGGAACATCACCTGGCTATCGTTTTATTGATTTAATATGCTGTAAACCGCTCTGAGATTTTCATTAAAAAATATTAAGCGATATATAAATATTTATTCTTATTTATTGAATTTGCATACTGCCCTAAATCCGCAGGTCTCGGGGCAGTTACAGCATAAAATCACAAAAATACATAACCAAAACAAGAAAACAATCCAATAAACGCCCCCTTCCCTAACATAATTTAACAGGAACTTTGGAACTCCCTGCCTATGGATATCAGAGGCGCCTTCCCTGCATTTCTTGCTAAAGATATTCTTATTCAGTCAAGCCTACCAGATGTTCAGAAAGTTTTATGAGTTTTAATTTGCCTTGGTCTGTTCTACTGCGGTTTTAACTGTTTGCATGTTTGAAATGATTGTTGTGATTTTTTCTTAAGTGATCATTTTACGGTGTTTTCTTTTTTTTTGTAAACTGCCTTGGAGTTTCCCCCCCTAAAACCAAGAGGTTTATAAATTCTGTTAAATGAAGAAATCTCCTCCTCTTGTCTCTTTGTCAAGACAGAGAAAAGGAATCTCACTTGGCCAGTTTGCCATTGTCTTATTACTCACAGGCTATTGTCTCCTCCAAAGGTTGTTTCCATTCTTTTGAGTTGGGGGCTACAAAAGCAGAGCAGGAAACCCTCTGCTTCCTTCCTCTGTAACAAAGATTTACCTCCCCCACCCCCACCAACAAGACCTGGGTTGAT